GAAATTTTAAACTTGTGATGTTAATGTATTTTGCTGTATCTCTACATTAATAAAATCAATCGCTATGGAGAAATTCTATTTAATTTTGATATCATTGGATATAGTGAACCTGTAACATAGCAAACCAAAAAAAGTTAGTTCCCAGAAGTCCATTCTAACCTGCATTGACTGTAGATGATTTTAGTTTGTATTAACTAGTTAAATTATACATTTGTATATTAAAAACAGCTGAAGTGCCTGGGCCACCAACATTTATTAAGTAAATAAAGAAAACTTTATAATCTAGAGAAAAGTTACTTTCCGTCCATTTTAAATTAAACATTTTACTTTATTCTCTTGTTTTAATACATTTTTGAACTAGTAATGCTACCAAATGGCACAGACTATTACATACTAGTTAGTATCTCTTTCTTTGGATTCTGGACCACTGTATTGGTTTTGCCTCTCCAACCCCTTCCTGATTGCCATTCTATCAGTGCTTAAGGGAACTACCAGAGCTTTCCAAGTTAACTAACGGTCCCCTGAGAAAATATCCAAGTGGAGATCTCTCATGCTTCTCAAACATCATGACATTCAGACTCGTAATGTAGTCCACAAGCCATTTTTGATGCATTAGGACCACAACACACTATTCGAAGGAATGTGTTTTCAGAAATGTGCAACAAGAAATGTGGAAAATCGAAACAAAGCCCCCCACACACTTGAAGAGTTTTCTCGTTCACATCTGCAGAGGCAAAAGAGTTCCTCGTTCAAGTCAGTCAGCAAGCGAGTTTTCTCGGAAACATTTCTACTCCATTTGTTATATAACATTTAGACATTTGCTGCCGCTGGAAAACACTAAACAGTGTGTAGAATTTAGTAAGGTTATAATATTTACCCGTATAAGATGTGACAAACAACCTGTTTTTTGAATTTTTTACTTGAATTTTTTCTTTAAACAGAAATGAACTAGGAAAAACTTGTATGGAAAATATTATTTCTTGTAAGAAAGCAGTACATTAATGAGCCATTTCAAAATAAAGATTTGAAGCAAGAACTTGAAAGGGTATTTTGAAAGAAATGAATTAATATTTTATTTTTTCTTAATTCACATTTATTTATAAATTAATTTATTCATTGTTAATTTTCTTAAGAATTATTTGATCATAATAAAACAGATGGGGCAGAAATATTGGAGATCAAGAAAATTTGCTGAGATGTATTGTACTTCTTCCCTACACATAAGTTCCCTGTTTTTTACATTAAATTATGATTTATATGCAGTGCAGTAATACAGTCTTTGGGCAATTAGAACTCAAATAGATGATTTAGAATTATGAAAATAACACAAAGACTTCATGTGTAAAAATTACACAAAAGCATCTAATAAAATGACATGGAACTCGCAGCTGATCTCATAGCTAACTGCTGTCACCACTCTCGGCTTGTGGCACATAAAAAGCATTTCAAGTCAACAAATGACACATTACTAGTGTGTGTCTTGTCGCACAATTCTCGCAACACATCTCTCGGTTTAGTCTGTTGCCGGCCTTAGTGACCTGTAATGTGTTTTGCAACATTAAATCTATGTAATAAATTAATAAATCAAACACATTTAACACAATTTTGCCTTAGCAACAATGAAAACAAAGTTATATTAGCTTTAAAAGCTATCAATCACATACTCATTAAAAAAATCTTTTAATTAAATAACTTTACAGAAAATATAGAACATTTATATTTCCAAATTGTTGAATTAAAACAAAGATTTAATTTTCTTCCCTGTTGTATTTATATCAGAGACTTTTTTAATTTAAAAACGTAATAATTTGATCACATTTTTTTAGGTTTTGGCCCCTTAATACTTTTAAAAACCTGCACAATATTTAATGTTTTAATGATTTTTAGTTATTTCAAACAAAATAACAAAACATATAATTTTAAGTACTGGAACATTCATTGGAAACACAAATTTATCACAACAATCATGAACAAACAAATACAAAAAGCAACACAAGTAAAAAATAAACAGACAATAAAATACAAATTTGATTTACTAGTATTGACAATGCCAATCTCATCACAACAAACATACACAATGTAAATACAGAAGAAACTTACAGTGAATGCAAACTTGTTTTGGAACTTAACATGTTACGGCATTGTTACTTTATTACCCAAACATAATAATACTAATAAAAGTTTGTTCCTGGAAATGATTATACGAGTGTGAAATATTTAAAAAAGGCCGGGCAGAAAGTAAACCTTGAATGCACTATTGAGATACTTGGCAGTACTGTATGAATGATGAAAATCAGTGTTTTATAGAAACTAAATTTTAAAAAGTTATATATTCTCCTATAAAACCCAAAAGTTAATAAAAATAAATACCACTGGGTTAGGTTTCTTCCAACTCCACAAGAAAATCACTCATATTTTCAAAAAATTGTGCATAGCATTATTATTTATATATCTCGTTCTGAAGAATGGATTTCATTAAGGAAAAGCATTTTATTATCAATAATGTAGTTCTTCTTTTGTGTAGGTTGTACACCTGTTTGTCTTTATCCTTCATTCAGGGGATTTACAAAAAATGTATAGTAAAAATTGGATTTTTTTTTTTGAAAAAATTCTGAAAATGTCAGAGGCTGCATGTAAGGTTTCATCAACAATTAAAATGTTCAATTCATACTCAAGTGACTGCAATAAAGATATATAACTTTTTATGAAAATCTGGAGTAAATAGATACAGGTCAGACAGACAGATGTTTTACCAAAGTATACTTAGTATCAACTTCCACAAAATGTAGATTCCTCACTACTCTATGTACTCCAGAAAGCAATTTACTAGGAGGAGAATAACATAGGAACAAGAAAAATTCTTTCATAGTATCAGGTACTCAGAAAATGAGTATTTCTGTGGAAAATGGACACTGTAGCATTACAATACTTTCTTCATACGAAAAAAGAAATTATTCTTTGATCCTCTAACATAAATGACTCTAAAATCAAGGGAAGAACAGACCATACTGAGGATTGAACTGAAAACTCAGAGGTATTATAAGTGTACACATTGCGGGGGGGCACAAGAATCAAAATTATGGCATTCTTTCTGAAAAGTTTGGATTGGGTCTATAATAGGACTCAAAAAAAGTCAATGTGATCTGTCACAGAGAAGGAAGAACGAAGACTAGAGAAAATGTTTAATTGATTAATACTTGTTTTCTTGCCTGTTTCTTCAATAATTTTCAACTATATTTTAATTATTTTCTTAGGTTGTAGTATTTTTTGAACATATTGATTTCTACTTCTGACTCTAATGGCTACATTTAATACATCTGTTCTTAAATATCTTGTATATGCTGCTTTCAGTCTTTGTCTCAGATTTAATATCCACACTTCACTGCCATGTAATGTACATATGGTTAATCAAATGGTTGTAAAATCTCATTTTTCATATTAAAGTCCTAAAAAACGAACAATAATTACATTTCATTTTATATATCAATTTAGAAATGAGATCTAGGTTTGAACTAAATAAAAAATATTTTCAAATGAACAATGATTTAATAACAAGTGAATCGCTAGAAGCTACACCACAGATATTAATTTAACATAATCTTCTAATGTCCTCTCCCTTTCAACATTCAATTTCAACTGCTTCCATCCTGAGCCCTGCCTCAACTGCCTCCTTCCTCTCCTTGCCCAAACATCCATAAAAAAAACAATCTTTAATTTTTGGAAATCCAAAAGTTTAAATGTAAATGATATGGGTGCCAAATGAGCTAATTTATTATTCTTCATCCTTACAAAAATGTTAAAGAAAAATTTGGAGCCATTTTCAAGAAAGACTTGCTTACAGATGTGGGAACTTATTACATTTAACAAAAAATATATGAACACTACTCACATTTTGAAAAAAAGTGTTTATGACAACATTTTAAGGCCTAACACTGCAGGATAGATTTCATTCAAAAAACAATTAATAGCTTCAATTGTGTTGCTGTAGGACAGGATCAAACAAAGTTTAAATTGTTAAAAATTTCAGATTTGAATGCAAATTGAACCTATACTATACTAACGAGTACACTTTATTCAATTCAAGCAGAAAGGTCAATGAAAATATTTTGAGTTTATTTTGAAAATATCTTATGAACTTCATGTAAAGTAAGCCCAAAAATTAAAAGCTGTTTTTATGTACAGTGTGACATCGTGATGTATGTTAAACACAGACACTGAGTTTTTTTTATACAGATTCATTTACATTACTGTAAATCCCTGAGGCAAGACACTTCAGTCTGACACAGCCCCAGCGTGCTAAATATTAGCATCATCCCTGGCCACTCGTCCCATGGTGAAATGCCACAACTCACAAGCAGCCACTTACAATTCTCCCTTGACAAGTCTCACACAATTATAGCCCAAGATTTCTCCAAGACCTTCTGTGCGAAGAATCACATGACCAACCTCCTCCGACCAACACAGTTGACCTGCATCCTGCATCATCTCATTAATGAATTTTGGGCCCTGTTGCAAATTGGGGCCTGGCCCAGATGTCAGGTGCATCTGTCACATATCATCCCCCCTGCGTTGACACCCGCATTCTGAGACCAGCCCCCAGTCTGCACCCTTGGAGAGCATTGCTGGTCACAGCCTGCTGCCAGATGACTACCCCTCCTCATCGCCAGCCTCATGACTTGCAGGGGCCCATGGGCATAATGGCAAATTGTTACAAAGGCAAAGTTCAGCCTTAACAATTAGGGAATATTCCTAAAGGGTAGTTTTGTTGCTAATCTTGTTAATGTATGGATAAATGGACATATGTTTTGGAGAGAAAACAACAAACAACCCTCATTCTATGTTAGGGACCCAATTTTTATTTATAATATTTCATCAAAATCATTGATTTTTTTGCAGCATTACATACTTTCTCTAAGCTATTTGTAAATTATACAGGTTAAAAAAATTAATGGAATTTACAGTATTTCTAAAAATATATATTTTCTAAAATTGATTCATACCTGAACAAAGCCAAATGAGTTTTTTTGAGCACTCAATTGCTTGGCTTTTTTTAGAAGATTCAACAGACTCTCAGCTCTGTGGGATTCTTCCTCTTCATCTGAAACAATCATCCATAAATTGTAATTTAATATTTTATTTGAATAAGTAATAGTTTTATTTTAACAAAGAAGGCGCAAAACAACAAGTAATACCATTGATTACACCAGTTGACAAACAGAGAACTTTTCTAAATAATGAAATTAACTATCTAAAATAATTTTGAAGCATAGAATGAAAATATAATAACAAAAAGCTCTCCTATTAGATTTTGTAGTTTTCATATTTTTGGTTATCTAAAAATGTTTTTATCACCGACACAAACAATTTCCAAGCCGCTAACGTTTTTTGATAAAACTTTTTTTTGAAGACAGTGTTACAAATCGCTTTTTGATCTGATGTCCAATAAAAATACCCTATTTAAATTAGACTTATCTTAACTCTGCAGAAAGTCTTCTTAAATGGTTAAACTTTTTTTGTCATCAACCTTAACAAAAAGTCCTCGAATATAACCCGCACCCTAATTTTCCGGTAAGGAAGCTTGGAGGGGGGGGGGACTTTTTCATGTTTATTGCAAAACATTTTTGTCCTCGAAAGGCCCGCCGATTAGCACGGGCTAGAGTGCAATTTTTATAAAGCTGCAACTCACGGCACGTCTTCACAGTGGCATTATGTCAGGCATTCCGCTTCTTTCTCGGTCGTGCCGCTAATGTCGCGACCGTTTCACGCGATGCGATACGGTCGCGATCATGCGACATTAGCGGCACGCCCAGAAAGACGCGAAATACCGTGAGATATTTCATAGTGAAGTCAGGCCCTCACACGCCAAGGAAAAAAACAAGTTTAACATAAACCGCCGTGACCACGTACAACACGCTTCAAGTTCGCGGTACAAACTCTCTGGTACAAACATTGACTGCAATATTATCCGCACCCAAACTTTCAGCTACCAATTCTTGAAAAAACATGCGGGTTATATACGTGTATATACGGTAATCCAGACAAATAAAAAAGCTTGATGTTCATATTAAGCTTCGTGCTTGATTTATAGGTCTTTCATTAAACCATCTTTGTTGAAACATGGACATAAATTAACGTCCATTCTGAAAAACCTCAGTAAAAAATGTTTTTTTGCTGAAAGATGTAAAGAAAGATACTTGTGCCAATAAATTCCACTCTTGCTCTTTAGAATCAAGAAGTTCAGTCTTTTATTTGAAAGCCTCAGATATCACACCAATTACCAACTAAGAATTGATTAATAAAATCAGGTTCACTGGAGACATTAAGTCTATAGTTAGGGCCACATATGTTTTGAGAAACATATTTTCAATAAACTCTGACTTCTTGATAACACTAACTTCTTTTACGTGAATATCTTAACAGTTCAATGGTGAAGTCAATATCGTTAGTGCAAAAATTAAAATAAAATTAGAACGCAAGAAATTCCTTATCATAATTTTATCATGCAGTATTCTGATATTTCACAAAATTTTCAATTACTAATTTACTACCTTAAAGTTAATTATAGACAAAAGTTACATGACTATAAAGTGAATCAAATGACACTACTGTTAAAATAGGTTCCACTGAAATTCATATTTATTATTATTTCATGTATGTAAGAGGTGATTTTATTACACATTAACTAAACACAACATTTTTTAGCACTTTAAGCTTACCATGGAATTTATATTATTTAGTAACTAAATGCTTTTACTTAAAACTATTATTTGAAATATATTTCCAAAAACTTATTTTAGATTAAATGATGTAAGTTTTGTTATTTCTTGAATTAAAATAACTTCTGTAGTTTCTTGTTACAAACTTTCACATTTTTATTTTCTTTCAATGGGAGGGGGGCTACATTCAGTATTATCCCAGGCCCAAAATTGTCTAGCTGTGACACTTGTTAAACATCTACTTTGTGATTTCCAGATTAATCGTCCAAAAACATAATAAAATCTGTAGAAAATCTGAAAGATCTTCACTGAAAACTTCCCATTTTCAATGTTAATTGTAACTGTAATAATACACGACTACCCCTAACAAAGAACCGGTATTTTCTGGAATAAGTACACAGAATAACCAGATTCACATATACCAGAGAGTGTTTACATAACCAGAATATTGTACTCTCCCCACTATCATGCAAAGCTGCCACGCTAATGTGACTTTATTAAATAGAAAAAATGGGTCATGGTGGAACTTTCTTATGGGAACATAGTCAAATAACAATCAAAAATTGATAGCAAAACTTAATTTGATTTTCGTTACCACATAACAAGGACAGTGAGTGACATTTTAACTTTTGATTGTTCTTCACATTATTAACTCATAACTAATAATGACAACAATTATATTATTATTATTATTATTATTATTATTATTATCATCATCATCATCATTATTAGTTATCTTCATCTTAATGTGCAACCTATGACTGGTAGCACTAGTTCTTCTCTTTGCAATTTGGCAACTGTGAGTCTTTGCCTCTGAAGATAGTCATGGCACGTCGAGACAGCAATGGGTGATATGAGCATCAGGTCATAAGTAGCAGCAACTTTCCTGTTTTTGTGTTTTTCCAATTCAAAAGTTTTGGCGAGAAGTATGTGGCTCACACCATAATCATTTCACACTGCAGGATGGGTAGAGTGGAGAGGGTTAGGCAGAGACATTGAGCAGGCAAACAAAACCTCTCTTTAGGTGATTCTGTCCAGTATGCTAAAAAAACACAACTGTAATACTGAAGATGTGGAGGGAAAATACGATTCATTTATGGATTTATTAACAGTAACATAATAATATTAATAATAATTATTATTATTATTAATGAAAGCCAGATCAGGCATAAATTAGAAAAACAACCACCATGCTCTTCATTTTTTTATAACTACAACAACAATAATAATAATAATAATAATTATTATTATTATTATTATTATTATGGAACCTGCAAATTAAACAAATAAGAAAATTTTAATAAAATGAATAAAAATATGAATAAAATATAAATAAGTTGTAAGTTAATAATTAATAAAAAATAATAAAATATTATCTCCTTAAAATAACAATATAAGTAAATGCTCAAAGTGACTACCACTTGCCAAGAAAGAGGTGTTTATGCTTTTTAGAGTGGTAGCTGCAACACGTTGAAGAGAAACAAGAATAGAAAAAGTGCTTTTTCTTTCTTCCAGCTAATTTTAGACACATCCACGTCTGGGAGGTGTTCCCAGACATGGCTTGCGAGTTGGAGTAAAAACAAAGTATATAACATATTATATAGTATAAAAGTTTGTGTGTATGTATATATAATATTAACTAACTTTAATTGAATTAGCACTAGTAAATTTTTCTTCCTAATCATATTAAAAAAAGAATTTATGAAAGCCAATAATAATTTTTTCAGGACCTTATGTTACATAAGGACCATGAAGAAATACAAGCTGGAAAAAAATAAAGTTAACACAATTCACATTCAGTTGAATAGAAAAAAATCCAACAGAAAGCAGAAAAATGTTAAAACAAATGTTTAATGTGTCTAACCTGGACATGTGAGATAATTTTGCAGGCACTTGCATGGATGAAGGGTGAACGCTGGACAGTATAGTCTACTGGCATCAGAGTCTCTTAATTTTTCTACTAAAGAGGCCGAAAATCTCACACATTCTTCCTGAAATTCTGCCTTTGCTTCTTCTGAAGGTGGAGACTGATAACATTCAAAGTAAAAAGAGATACTTTATTTATCTTTCCAAAGACTTATGATAAAAGATAAACACAAATATTTTTACAATACAACTGAAAACAGACATTAGAAACATGATAAATAAAATAAAGTTTAGAACCAAGTTTTAGGGCAATTTCCTGATAACTAATAGCAACCATAACTCTGAAGGCAATGCCTATTGAGTTTATTAAGGAAGGATAGTATTTGGCAAGATAAACTTTAGAAGAATTTAAGATAAACAAAGATTCAGAGAATATGAATATAAAAGGTAGAGTACAAATTGTCTAAATTGCAATAAGAATAAGATTTTTGAAATTTTAAAAATCCATATGCTAGTGAGTCTGCATTAAATGTTTTATTCTAGAGACACATTCCACCCCAATGGAAGACTGCCACAAGTCAAAATTAGCAGTTTTTCTGGAGAAGCATATAAAGATTTTGAGACAATAGAAAAAATTATAAACATTACAGGAACGTGAAAATAATGTATATTAAACTTTTAACATTCTTTAATAATATACCATAAATTACAAATACCTTGAATTGATTATGCATGTTTTTTTACATTTCAAAATTATTGTTTTGAGTTATGACAGTTTTCTACTCAGTATTTGTTGAAATGGTAAGGAGTTATTGCATACATGGTGAACACAAATCTTCACTATTTCCATTATTTTAGTGGCTGCATTTGTACATCTTTATTTAACTTTCAATAAATAAACTGACTTAATAATAAGAACAAAATTATTTCCATTTAACAATTTTTATTTAGAATAGGAACTATCGCTTATATGACCAGTTCATATGACAATCTTTCACAATCATTTGAGTTTTCTGTAATTATATTTCTAAAATAATTATGAAACTGGGAAGGAATCTGGTTAGCATCACATATGTCCTTCTTCTTGATCTCAGTTATGCCAGGGTGTTTCTTATAAGCATTTTGCAAATTCAAGTATCCTATCTGAGAAAGATCTCTGCATTGTTGCCTAGTGTTGATGTGGCGGAACTCTTCACCATAAACAGTTTTATATTCAAGAATGAATAGTACATCTTTCCTTGCTTGCATCACCTTTGTCAGTTTATACAACTTTCTCTGCATGTTCATTCTTGTTGAAGTTGCTACCCATTTGACTAGCTAAATGATTCAAGTCAAAAAATCATTTGTTGTCATGTGCTCGAGTTTTATGGATTTCCAGTCTTCTTAACAGATAGTATGACTGTATGCACACAATGTACATTACAAGAAAACACCTAAAATTAAGATGTGTCAGTCTTCTATTATTTGAATTGTTCAGAATGGCACAAGAGAAAAACTGAATTACTTGCTCAAAAATCGTCATCTTTACGAGTGGAGCTGTGGCATTTTTCCACAACACGGACTTCATTAACAGGCACTTTAGCCACCAAATAACTCAAAATTCATTTTTTCAGACTTATGGCAGTCTTCCCCTGGGGGTGTTTATATACATCGAATTAATACTGCTTCTGATCACAAGAAGTAAATACTCTAAAAACAAATTTTTATTGATATTAGAAAACACAAGTGTAATAAAGGAACAATATATAATAGCTACAAAGATTATGTCTATTACAATGAATACATTATTACTTTATCCAAGCTTCTTAAAAGAGTAAAGATTAACTACACTATTCATTATCTAGTATAGATCGTGATTTGTGTAAAGTTTCATACCAATAAGATATTTTTTCTTTCCTACCCATCTCCGAACTGGCTACCCTACACAAATTGAGAATCCTAAACATGAAAAAGCTCAAAATTCCATATACATCTTGTCGTGACTATTCCACTCATGAAATTAAAATCACGTGTTCAACTATACATAACAAATGCCCCAATCAGGCCGGTGTATCTCAAAAAGTTTATCAATTTTTTCTATCCGATTTTTCTTAACACATCTCCCTACTTGCCAATCATACAGTCACTCATCTATACTAAGCAGTATACTACATTGATCGCTGTGTTGCATGTGATGTAACATAGCTTTCATTTATTTTCAATATTTGGCACGTTTTGGAACTCTGTTGGACATAATTTCACTCATGGAATTGTCCTATTAAATACCACTCATGTTTTGGAAATTTTCAGATAAATCCACTACTTGCTTCACAAGTCATGAATTTATCAACAATTTCCTAAGCACTCATGGTATTACCTGCGAAAATGCTGTTTTGAGAGCATCAGATAACATCAATATGGAGTACTCTCCATTTTCACATTTGAACATGCTTATGTCCATTAATCAAGCAATACAATCATTGCTCCCATGGAAATATTTGGATTTGTTTTTGAGATACATTTTATTCAGAGAAACATCATATTCTGATTTAAATGCTTTTCATTTATCACAACCTTATATGACAATTTACAGACCTTCCATTGAATAAATTGCACCAAACACAAAATATCTTTCCAATTAGAAAATATACAGGAAAAGTTTGAAAGAGTGTAACACTTGAAATTTTTAAATATTCAGAAGGTTGAATGAAAATCAACCTTTCATTATATTATTAAGCACACTTTGTTCATGGACATTATTCTTATTCTTCCTATTTTAAATTCTGGACAATGTTTGTATTGTTGTTACAATTATTTATTCATACTACATATTTTACAATATATGACATGAATAAATAATTGTAACAATAATATAAACATCACCTAAAATTTACAATAGGAAGAAAATAATAATAATATACCAAAACTAAAATAAAACAACCAGTTAAGAGATTCTTTCAAGACTCTGTTCTATTCGTACACTAAATTTTTACAAAGAATTAGGAGCAATTTTTTTATTTTGTTGTACAAGTCACATAAATTCTCTCAAAAATTATTTTACTCCTTTTTAATTCACAGTACCTCACGAGACGTCACATTGAAAGTAATATACCTAAACTGGAAAAAATCCTG